ATAATTGTGCAAAGTTTTATTTAAATATTTTAGCATTTTAAAAAAGTAAATCAGAGCTAAAAAAGTGCAAAAATGCAAGCAAATTTGCCTGCATTGGTCTATATATTAAGGGATAAGTATTTGTACTAATTACATACAGAGCTGTTAATTCAACTGTTTCTTATTAATATTTTTACTAAGGCTATGTGCTTTTTTACTAGCTACTCAAACTTTACGTGCTGGAATAGCATGTGGATCACAATTTTCTTTATTAACTTTTCTACGTTTTACTGATTCTACTTGTACCCGAATTTTTGGACCACTTCTAATACGTACAAGTGGATCAAAATTGTGATTCATATTATATAGGAAGAAAGTTAAAGCTAGAATAGATTTTTTTTCACTGTATTGTATCGTTCTGCAAACTTCATAAAGCTGCCTGAAGTTGCGGTCTACAATTTTTATAATCATGTTTTATTGTTTCAATAAATGATTCAAAAAAAGCCAGACAATGCCTAAAAATAAAATATCTGATAAGCATGTATAAAAATAAATAAATAAAGTACAAAATACATACTCTGCTACAGTAACTTGGTCTACTTTAGGTTCTTGTGGCTTTTGAGTTTCATTTGTTTCTTGGAGCATATTAATTAATATGTTATTTTTACAATATTCATATTGGATATTATATAGTAATACATAAAAATAATTATCTGCTATAAGTCCTTAAGATAGTAAAGAAAATTGGAGATTAGTAATTGTTTAAATATTCAGTATGAATATTAATCACTTACTACATGCAATATATATGAAACAAACACGATCGTTAGGTGTTAATGACTAAAAAAAATTTAATGATCCAATAGATATTTTACAGATACTGCTTCCTGATGTTTACACAGAGCTCCAGATAATCCAGTGAAACATGTATACGTATAAAGTTTAGTATTAAGAATGTAAAATTTGCCTTCACTCTTTTGACTTGGAACTAGGTACTTTGCAGGTATCACAGTTTGCTGAATTTTCTCTGAATTAATAGCCTCCCAACCAGGGCATAAAAATTGCTTAGTGATGCTGAGATGACTAGGGTGATGATGGGCTATACCAAGTAATCAGCGTTCATAGAAGCGTTCATAATAGTGATTATAAATTGAAAAACCTGAACGTAATTATATGTCTGAGTACGCACAAATACAATATCTTTTAGTAATCCAAAGCTACATTCTACATAGTTATTAGTGTTGTTTCTACGTAAAGGAAGCCCAGAACATAATAACAGTACTCAGAGTTGCTGCCTATTTCAAAGCAAATCAATATGCTTTTGTAATTGCAGATACATGCTATAATAAGTGGTTTTTAATCTATAATAATATTCTACCATTTCAGTTTCTGTTCATGCATATAATATTTGCTTCATATCATTCATTATAAGAGATTTATGTTCCTTATTTTGTTAGGTTTTATATTATGCAACCAATGCCAAAAAGCTTGAAGGATATAAAATATATATAGCAATTGTATTGATTGTGGCCAGGAACTCTCTAATACATTTCTCTCAGCTTTAGAATCATCAGTAAGAAAAACTATTAGGCCAATATTAGGATCATGGCCATAGAAAGCATAAGGTGGAAGAAAATTTTTTAAAAGATTCATTTCTTTTTTCAAGATTACTTCTAATTCATCAGATGTTATTATAACCCCAAAAGGTAATGCACCCACGATACAACTTGTGTAAAACAATGTAATCGATGTATTCAATGGTTCAAAGAAAGCAGATGCGTCAATGTAACAGAGCTCACTCACCTGATGAATTTTTTCATAGACATGACTCATTAAATTGGTAACAATACAAAGTATATAGGCCTTTCCTGATAATGAATCATATTCTTGAAATATGGCACATTCCTTCTCTGAACTATTGTAATTATTAACCTTTTGTTTAAGACATTGAAACATTAATATACCATTTTGCTCTCCTAGGTGTTTATTGTGATATTGTTCAAACAAATGTAAGACATAACCATAGTCTGGATTTTCTATACGATTTGCTAATAGCTGCATAAGCTCTTGCTTATTGTTTGCACGCAAATAAAGGCTATCCTTATAAGTACGCAGGGCAGCTGCTGGTGAATATCTATTGTTAAAAAGTTCAATGTATTTACTGCAAACATCATTTTTAATGTATCGAAAACTAAGATACTCCGCAAAATAAATGATATAATTATGCACAAATTTTATATTAATTTCAAATAGGTGAGTCGTTTGAAGATACTAACGTTCAAGCTGAAAAGTGGATCGTAGCCACATATTCTGTGTTTCTTACTCATAGTAAATATAGATTTTTTAAAATAGAATCTCACTGTTTTTGCTGTACTTTATCACTATATATACAATACTGTAATTTTCTAAAAAGAATCTTTTTCTCTTGAATTTTAAAACCTTTTGTTTTGGGCATTGTTGTTTTTAATATTTCTTCGAATTGCAAAAACCACCGCTATATACTTTCAACATCACTAATATTTACGAAAAGGTCTGCTTCGAACTGATCAATTGAAAACCCTTCTGCCATTATATAGTTAGGGAGTTGTTTAAATTCTGAGACTATATAATTATAATTTGGAGGAAGTATAGCTGCAATGTTATTAGGTAATAGCTCCGGCGGCTTTAAAATATTATTAGCATTGTATGAAGATTTTATTATATCCGAAAACAATGATCATTCTGAGTCCTCACAATCAAAATTTGGAGTAAATATGGCTGCAATGTTATTAGATAGCGGCTCCAGAGAATCTAGTATTTTAGCATTATATGAAGGTTTTATTGTATCTGAGACTAACGATCATTTTGAGACCTCACAATCAAAATTTAGAGTAAGTATAGCTGCAATGTTATTAGATAATGACTCCAGAAGCTCTAGCATTTCATCATCATATGAAAATTCTATCATATTTGACGATTGTTCTAAGACTACACAATCAAAATTTGGAGTAAGTATGGCTGCAATGTCTATTATATTCGAGAATAATGATCATCCTGAAACTATATAACCATAATTTGGGGTAAGTATGGTTGCAATATTATTAGATAATAGCTCTGGTGGCTCTAAAAGATTATTCGTATTTCTGCATCATATAAAGGTTCCATTATATCAAGACGAAGCACTATGAAATAAACTCTTATTTTAAATTATGAAGTAAAATAGAGATTATAATCGATTAATAACCTATCCTTTATAAGTTAAATCAATTCTTAACCTTACGCTTTTATTTTAAATAAGACATATATGATTTTTATAGCTAACTGTCAAGAACAAAAAAAAAAACAAATTTTTGATTTATTTTATTAAATATATTTTATATGATTGTGATTGCATCATATTATCTTTGCTTGATAAATATTTAGATGCATTAATTAAACTTTTAATTAATCATTTAAACTCAGGTAAGCTATTATGGTATTATTACATAATTGCATATAAATATACTTTAATTAAATTACTTTTATGTCTAATTAATTAATCATTTCAAATAACACTCAAATAATGCTGAAGCACTATTCATATTGAGAGAATAAATCGTCTAATTAACTTTTAATTAATAATTTTAGACTCAGATAAGCTATTACGGTATTATTACATAATTGCATCATTTATATAAATTTTTAATTAATATACATACTTTAATTAAATCACTTTTACATCTAATTAATTAATCATTTCAAATAACACTCAAATAACACTGAAGCACTATTCGTATTGAGAGAGTAAATCATCTAATTAACTTTTAATTAATCATTTCAGACTCAGGTAAGCTATTACAGTATTATTACATATATAAACTATTAATTAATATACTTTAATTAACTCACTTTTACGTCCAATTAATTAATAATTTTAAATAATGCTGGATATTACTTGTATTGAGATAATAGATCGTCTTCTTGATTTTAAAGATGCAAATAACAATGATACATTGTATTAAAAGCAGTGATCTACTCTTTCAATTCTCTGGCTTTCAAATAATACACCAGCGAGTTCATTATAATACGGCATCTAGATTCACAGATTTTTTAAATATGATTTTGTTCTCACATGCATCCAATTTATACAATTAATAAACACTGACAAATTTTGAACCTTGGGTTACTTTTTTTTAAAAAGAAAATCAACAATATATCAGTTCATCGTATATAAAAATTTAATCCTAATAAAATTTGTTTATAAGTATTCGACTTGCAAACTATATTTGGTTTTATACTTAATACGAAATATCAATATATGTACTGATATGTACGTATATACACAGAATTGTTACACAGATATAAAAATGCCTGAACTATATATTACAAGTACTACCACATGATGGGTGATCGACAATGATTGACAAAAGCTAACACTGAATTTTTTTGTGCATTCACTAATCATTTGGTATATAATTTTTTTTTTTTTTATTATTAAGATAATCTTTTTGGCCAAAAAACTGTTTTATTAAATATTCAAAACTTATTACAATTATAATAAAAGTACAACTAGCTATATATATACTTTTAGTATCTAATTTAAGTAGTTTGCCTGAAGAATTCACACTATTTGCTATATTTGCAACCCAACTACAGAGTTATTTATTTAAACTTTCTAGTCATAACCTAAGCTCTTATATCTAACCCAGGTATAACTTACTATTATATGTAGATTTTGTGACACTTTTAGCTTTTAGCACCCATCTTAAAACTCTTTTTGGTTAATCTTTGAGATAAACCTAATACTGCCTATATATAGTATATGCTCATTCAATAATATTCATCCCAATTAGTATATATTGTCTACCACTATTGTGTTTATATTTCATACCACTTTTTGAAATGCTACTATAATACAATTTATATCTTAAGCACAATTTTTTTAATTAGTTTTTCTATTATTTACTTCTTATCTTTTGTAAGATTTATAATCTTAGTATCTATATTTGTACTCTATACTTTGGTTTTTGGTCTTTTAATTAATGGCCTAGAGAGATTAATCTGCTCAGATCTAAGAGTTCCTATCTTAGATTTGAAAGTCTTTCAATCTTTGGTACTAGCTTTTGTAATACAAGTTCTTTTTCTCTAAAGTCTATCCTAAAATTTTTTATTAGATATCTGGTCAACAGAATAATTAATAAATATATATCAGGGTATGATAATTTAGTGAAGTGGTGAAGTTGTTGCACCCCCAGATGGCAGATTTAGAGTTCAAATTCTACGAACGACGATTTTGAAAATACTAGATCTGTAACGGTTAACGTTAAGATTATCGTTGGATCCAGTTATCTGTAATCTTGGTCACACCATCTCGAATAGGAGCTTTGGCGCAATAAATCCAGGAAACCAGAATTACTGAAAACCCGTTTGGCAAGCCCCGAGCTAGGAGTAGCATGATCTTTGACAGTGCTATAGGAAGACCGAATTTGGAACCGGAAACTGAGATCAGAGAACCAAGCGACCAGGTCCTTGAAGGGGGAACATATCAGCCGAACTGCTGGATCACCAACCAGAGGAAAAGGACATGTGCTCTGGAAGCATGTACCAAGGAAAGGGAGACCGTAAGGCACCTAAAGCCTGGACAGACTGACCCTTCCGGGTTGCCAGCTGGAAGTAAGAGAAGGACTAGTAAGAAATCTGGGAAAGAAGAAAGTTGGAACGTGGGTACTGGGGTTGTGTAAACCTTGCAAGGGCAAGAGTATATAAGTGGGAACTAATTAGGAAGGTTGTGGCTTGAGATACGAACCGGGTTACAGCAGTATCTGAAACGATAGCTTGAGATACAGACCCGGTAGCAGCAGTACAACATGTACTAGTTGGGAAAAAGTTACCGAACATTAGTGTTACAAGCCGATTGGTTTTTATCAGCTGGCTTAGCCAGCTGATGAAAATATCGGTTAAGTGGCTAACTAATGGCTAATATAATAACTATATAATATACAATATATTATTACAATATATATATAATTTTCATAAATAATTTTTATAATACTTAATATAATACAAGATTAATTTTATTTAAAATCTACTAAAGTAATTCTAAATTCAATTATTTATCTCTAAATTTGCATATATACTTTTTGCACATTTATAACTTTAAGAAACTAACTTCAGGAATTAATTAGAGTTCTAACCCAGATAAATCTATACTCTGCCACTTTGCGGCTATTATACTTGGTTACTGTTGCTCTTGGTTACTCTGCCTTTTAGCACTTCCCCATTCGAGGATCCATATCTAATTATCTGAATAATTCAGATCACTTAAATATCTGACAAGTATTCAGATATCAATAATAAATAGAAAGTAAATGAGATATATCTGAATAAATTCAGATCTGGATATCTGATAGTTATTTGAATACATGCATAATAGATTAAAACTCTAGAATTGATCAACTTAGAATTAATCGTAGTCCTGAACCATAACAATAATAAAATCATCAGTATAAAAAATCAACATCCCAAATTCAAGTTGTTAGAATCATACTCATTTTTGAGAAATTAACAATAAGTAAAATAAATCAAAATATATATATAAAAAAAAAAAAAATACACTATACTCGCCAATTATTAATTATTCTGTTCAAAGAAAAAGAACCAAATTCTTTTACTTTCTCAAGTAGAGTTCCAACCCAGATAAATCTGTCATCCATTTATCCATACCTGATTATTCGAATATCCGTTTACTATTGATATCTGGATAATCTGACAGATATTTCAGATATCAATAGTAAATGATAGTAAATAGATATCTGAATATCTGATAATTATTTAGATAAATATAACCTGGATTGGAACTCTAATCTCAAGTTCCCGTATACTCAAGCTAACAATAGGAATTTTTAATTATTAATTGTTAATAATATAAAATTGTCAATCATTTTTACAATTAATAAATGGGTCAGTCCATACCGTTATGAGCATTCGGGCAAAATTCCTTAAATTGAAATATCGATATTTAATCAATTTTAATAATTAAAGTAACAATAGAATTTTTGAACCTTTGAACAAGAATTGTAATAAATTGTTATATAATATTATGTGACAAGACTTGCACTAAAGATAGAGCATCTACTCAAGAATATGGTCCAATGAATTATTAACGTTTGAACACTTATAATGGTATGGACTAACCCAAATGAATTATCCAATATGCATAAAAAATATTGATATGTAGAATGTGTAATCAGCAAATCAAAATATATATTTTTATATACTCTAATATAAAAATGATTTTGTAGCGATAAAAATTAATCAATAATAGTTCCTGTAAAAAAAAAAAAACTATTGATTAGATCATTTTCTACAAAGATGTTCTATGCATATTAGATAATTATATTAAAAAATATTGTTAACTTATTAATCGTTAATATGTATGTAATTTATAATTAATAATTAGAAATTCCCATCGCTATGTACTCGAAGCTAATATAAACTCATGAACAATAGAGATAATAAAGATAAGCAGATGCAAGTATATATAAGTATTGCATATATAAATATATGCACTGCTATTGTTCATGAGTAGATATAATTATTACACCATGCTGTCTTTTTTTGATATTTAGAAAAGTACCAAAATTATACATACAGTTGTTATCTTTTTGAGTTAGCCAAAGAA